TAGAACGCTCTTATGACAGTAGGAAAGTACTGTAATAGCGCTGTGCGAATGTAATACCTGAAATGTTATTGAATGGTTTTAGGTTGCAGGTGTTATTTACTGTTTACCATAGTTTATGGTATGATGTTTGTATGCATGATATTGAAGCTACTTTCTTACTGTAAGTTTATTCGTTTTTTAGTTAAGCGATCGTTCCACAATGGCGAGGTAGTTCCCCTGCGCAACCCTGATGGCTCGCAGCTGGCTGATGTGGAGCTAATGTCGGCAAACATCTCGCTTAAATGTCCTATCACCATGTCAAAGATCGTACTTCCTGCCCGAGGTCAGGACTGCAGGCACATTCAGGTAAGCCGATAGTTTTACTGACTGACTGTCACGGACGGAAACCAGTGGACTAAGGGATGTTTTTTTAGTGTTTCGACTTAAAGCCATACGTGATGATCAACAAAGATCGTTTTCAGTGGCAGTGTCCCATTTGCGGGTATGCAGTGACGTTTAACTTTACGAGGCACCAAGCTTAAGTTTGCATTTCAGGCGTCAAGCACTTCCTGACAATTTGGAAATCGACCAGTACATATGGGGCATTTTGGCAAACCTGGCCAAATGCCCCGACGTTGACGAAGTATGTATAGATTCGTCGGCAGCATGGAAGGCGAACGTAAAGTCGAACATGTACGAGGCGTCGTTGAAGGAGCAGATCGGTTCGTGTGGCACCGCTTTGTTCCCAACGTTATGATTACGTCAAACCGTTTTAGTACCCGGTAATTTGGTGAAGAGGTTCAAAAGTGAGCCGCTAGACGGCCCTGGCTGGGGTCAAGCAACGGCGCAGATGCATAACTTTCAGAACATGCAAAACTCCGTGATCATGCAACAACAGCAGCAACAGCAGCAGCAACAACAGCAGCAACAACAGCAGCAACAGCAGCAGCAACAACAGCAACAGATTCCTGAACGCAACGCGCGAATGATGAATACGTTCTATCAGGAAGCGGCCTCGCATCAGGGAATGCAGCAGCAGGTATTTTAAAATCGTTCCTGTCATACAGTTCCAAGTGTGGCTTTCAGATCTGTCAGACGTCAGTAGCCATGGGACCCACCGGACCGGTAAATAATATGTACGGCCGTTGCACGCCCGTAGTGGCGGACAACCAGCAGCAGACGGCGGTGGCACCAGCTACACCTAAGCATCAGTCAGTCAAGATGGCATTCAACAGTCCACCGACACCCGTGACCCCGCAGCACAACCCACCGTCGGTTGGTGCCCCTCATAGTGTCGGTAACCTTCAGACTACGACCGAACACATAGCGCAGCTGCAGCAGCCCCTTTCGAACCAGATGCAGCTCAGTATCGATGGGTCCGCAGCAGGTGTGTTCATTCATCTCCAAGCTTCTTCGTTTGTAATCAGGAGCTTAACTTTAAAAATTCTAGGATCTGCACCATACACGCCAGCTTCAGTCAGCAGCGCAGGCAGCCAGCACAGCTGTACAAACACTAACGTGGTTTCCACTGAAGGGAACACTGGTGACTTCTCAGATCTCACGTTCGATGCAAACGACTTGCTGCCGAACGATACGTCAGAAAACCTAGGGGTACGTTTTTGGTTCTATTAAATCTAGAAAACTTTCTCCAGTAATATAATATTTATCGTGTATGTTAATGAGAACAGTCTTATTCAAAAACTATATACATTGTGATGGTCGAAAGACTTACAGTTTGCACTGATGGTGAACAGTTGTTCTAAACGTTTAGTTTTAAAGTATTGTTACAAATAATGTTGTTTTATTTCTTCCTCTTCTGTCTGTCTGTGTCTGTTTTTCCCCTTGTTCTTTCTTTTTCCCTGCTATCTTTCTCTGTAAATGAGATGATTACATGACGCACGCACACATTTGAAAATGTACCTTGAACGTGTAAATCGGCAAGAAGCTATGAATTTGCCAGACAAATTCACTATCTTCACACCCTAGAACGTCTTTCTTTTTGTTCACTAAGAATATAGACGGTTAAGTGTGCATCGATAATATTACTCATTCCGACAGCTATTAGATTTCAATGATTGTCAGGCAAATGAAAACCGATTGCTTGAGGGGAAAAGAATTAAGGTAGCCGGAGTAGATCAAGATTTTGACCTTCGCACCTTTAGCTTTGTCAGCGTCTGATGCGATCCTTTGTAAGTCACCATTACCACTGAGAGGTACATTTGAATATTTTTGGTCGGTTCTGTAGAACAATAAAACGGTTTTGCGCTATGAAACGGGAGGCTAGTTTGTAAGCTTTAGAAGTACCAGCTTGGATAAAACAGATTGTTATGCAACTTTTCAAAGGCAGAATTGAGTTTATCTTCGATTACAAGTTTTTAGAAATTTATTTATTCAGTTTCTGAATTAATTATTGTTTATATAGAATAGTCATAAAATGAGATTTTCAGTTGCTGTTCTTATTGAAAAGTACAGTGAAGCATGGTTCGTTTAATACTATGCAATAAAGTAAACAGTAAACTGTTATCAGCGATTGACTCTTTCTTGACACACGTTCAGGATGAAGTCCTTGTGATTATTTTTTGCATATGTATATCTTTTTATATTGGCCTTCTGGCCTGAGCAATATCACTTGCAAAGAATAACTGTCTGCATAAGTTTCGCCGCGACGTTCGCTCTAAAGAACGCTTTGAAATGCAACGGAAATAACTAACGTCATTTTCCGTTCTAAACAATGACAGCATAATATACACTTTACGGACAATGTACTTTCCGCTACATTTAAAGTCGTGTGAGTTTTGTGATCTTCACTCTATTTCTTGATATGATTCGTCAAGATTTGTTACTGTTAGACCGTTATGAATTGATTTCATTACACCTTCAGGAGTTAGTTTTTGTGGTGGGAAAAGGTTTCCTTTTTTTCATTTCGTTCAGTGGGAAATGGTATCGGCCATTGATTGCGTATACCTCTGTAACCCAATGTTAAATGATGACGAAATATAGGTGTATGAGAACGGTCAACCACTATCAACGATTCACCCTGTAGTTTACAGACTTTCTTTAGGCGGAACACACATTGCTGTTGTTGACAGTTATAGTTCACAATTGATGTCGCTGCCAGTTAGCCTTCTGGTCCAGTAAACGTACGAATTCAATTAATAATAGCAGAACCAATATGAAATCATACTTACAAAGTTCTGTGAAGTGCGTCGGCCAGAACTGATTGTTGCCCATCATCGTTTGTCGTGTAACAATGGCTGGATAGGTAATGTTCATTATGTCAGCTCATCTTAAGGTCTTCACTTTCATGTTAGAAAGTACGTCCAAAAATTCCTCATCCTAAGTTGGGTGATGTGGCCGCAGCCGACCCTTCATCGTGCATGTTCAGATTCCGTCACTGACAGCTGACAAGCCAATCAAGCTTAGATAACTCGCGAAAAGTTGTTGAAACATGTCGGTTTTCTGTCTCTGCAAAGCTAGAAAGCCTGAAATTGTCAGCCAACTGTCCGAGATCGTATTGGATCTAAAGCTGTGAATTAACGTTAGATTTAATTGTGAATTACTCATCACAATAGTTGTGTATTTTAATGATTATTCCACATATTCAAGTATTAATTATCACTAGCCATTGTCTATCGACCGCTTGATCAAGGTCTTTCCAAAACTTTGCACGGCTCTGTATTTTTTTCCATTTTCATCTTTCATGATCCGGCGTACTTCTTCATCTGATCTTGCCATCGATCTACAGCTCATCCTACTGACCGTTTACTCTCTTTGAACCTATTCTAATGTCTTTCTACTCCCGCGAAGGTCGGTCTTCATGCAACGTATCCCGCACATTGCCACTATAACTTATTCTCAGGCAATGACATAGTTGATGCTTATTTGTGTTCTTCTCCATTCATTCTTATCCTTATTTTTTCTTGTTATTCTCAATATACATCATTCCATGCTATGTGGCCTATCCTGTAGTTCACAAAAATCTTTCAGGCTTAGGGACTACGTTTCACACGCCTGTTAGGAGTGTCAGCACACACTGATCAAATACTTTCACAAACGCATTTCCCAATTAAGAACATTTTTCATGTATCGGAAGTGCTCTATGCCATTTTTATTCTTCTGTTGATTTCTCTTAGTCGGTTGTCGGTGGCAGAGATGAGTTATGGACACAGATGCAGTTTT